GGGGTTCACTCCTACACAGAGGTTCCTAAACCCAGCTGTATCTACTAACTCCTTAGGGAGCTTTTGGAAGTCATAGATCCTGGGACCCACTCCTAACCTGTGAACTGGAATCAGAAGACTTGAGGCAAATCTTCTTCCCCACCAAAAAATAAAAACAGGAAAAGAAGGTAATATATCTATACTGGGAAACAGAGAGGAGCACTTGGGGACCATAGATCAAACAGTTCAAACGCTTGCCTATCTTTGTAGGTGTGTGGTGTGTGTGTGTGTGTGTGTGTGTGTGTGTGTGTGTGTGTGTGTGTGTGTGGTGTTTGTTAATGTACATGCATGCGTATACATATGGAGATATGGAGCCCAGAAGATAATCTTGAATATCTTTTCTCATGTCTCACCTACTCCTCCATTTTTTGAGACAGCATTTCTTACTGGCCAGTAGACTGGTAGACTAGGCTTGGTGGCCAGCATGCCCCAGGAATCAGCCTATCTCTGTCGGTCTCCTACTCTCTAGGGGACTATAAACTTGTGTTACCACATCCAGCTTTTTATTGGTATTTTTATTTATTTGAAATTAATATGAAATTACATCATTTCCCCCTTTGCTTTAGTCTCTCAACTTCCTGTCTTGCTCTCTTTCTGACTAATGACCTCCTAGGTTCTGGGGACTAAAATCAAGCCTTTGCGTTTACAAAGAAAAAACTTACCGACTGACCCAACTCCCCACTCCCCAGCCATGTGACTGCACACATGCGCACACACACACACACACACTCACACACACACACACACACACACACACATGATTTTATTACTCTAGGAAGTTATAGCTATCTTTATGTAAGTATATAATGTACTTGGAGTATACTCTCTCCTATACACACTAAACTTCTATCTGAGCCCCTCCTCTCATCACACTCCTTTATGATTCCAGATGGTTTACTTCTACTTCCATGTCATCATACATGTTGAATTTTAAGTACATAAAATCCAGGACCCACACATGAAAGAAAGAATATTTGTGTTTTTTTAGACTGGCTTAATTCAACTCATATAACTATCTCTAGTTGCATCGGTTTTCCTGAAAAGGACATAAGACTTCTTTTTCCATTCTTGAAAGTTTTCCATTGTGCATATAAACCACATTTCCCTTATCCAATTCCTCTATGGAAGGACACCTTAGTTTGGCTGTATAGCTTAGCTACTATGAAAAGTACATATGTCCAGATATTTTTTGTGAGATATTAACTTGGAGTCTTCTGAGCAAATACCCAGGAGTGGTATAGCTTGGTCCTTTTGTAGATCTGCTTTAGTTTTTTGAGGAACTTTCATATTGATTTCCATAGTGACTGGACCAGTGTACATTCACACCAGCAGTTGTTCTCCTTTGCCCATGTCCTTACCAGTATGTTACTTGTTTTATTGATGACTCTCATTCTGACTGGTAGGATGGGAGCTGAATGTAGTTTTTGTAATGACTAGTGATATTGACTTCCAGGGATTTCTTACTGAAGACAACACAATATTTCTGGGAGTGAAAGTCACTTGCCTTGAGCCTTTAGCAAGACCCTGATGGAGCTGGGGCTGTGGAAATGAAGCAAATTACTTGGCTTCTTCCATTTTTCTGTTTCCTAATGTGCAGATTGCTTTGCCCATTACGGATGAACAAACCCTTCTATTTTCTCCATATTCATGATACAACATGTGCAGAACTGGCTAGGCATGTACACTTTTTGACCAAAAATATTTACTCTAGCCATCTCATGGTAGAAACTCAAAATCTGCTACCATTACATTTGGGTAGGATGTCTAAACGTTTATACCGATCTTAATGCTTCAGAGTTGGCCTTCTGTGAGTGCATGAATATTGCATGCATGCATCTGTGCTTGTTTTGGCATATAGTTTCACAGTTTTCTTCAGATGGTCAATAAATACCTCTATTTCCCAAATGGCTAACCCTCTGTCTTAGAATATCCCTGGTAAGGGTTACTCACAATTTCAAAGGAGATGATTTGCAACTTGGAAAGAAAAAAAGAGTAGGAGAGTCTACTTTGGAGACCCAGCTTACGTTACCCCCTCTCTCCACTTTTTCCACCTAGATACAGCAAGCATAGTAAGATATTAAAGTGATAAAATGGAAGGGATGCTCATAGAAGCTTCTGAACTTTCAAATCTACACCGCAACTAATAAGAAGTCAAAGTATGGCTTACTTCAAGTACCTCAAAGAAAACTGCAGGAGAAGGCACAAGAGGCTTAAGATAGTGATTTGGGAGGATAATAAGCCATATTTATCAGGGTAGGACTTGGGAGGTATAGAAAGCAGTAACTTTTAATTAAAGTTATGCCAACACACTAATTTGGGCAACCAAGATTCATAATTAAAATTTTATATAAAGTCTGCGCATCACCAAACACTTTAATGGCTCCAGGAGAAACATGATATGGGTAGAGCATACGCTGCTGTGAGCATCAAGGGAGACTGCCAAAAGTATCAGGTAGATAAACTGGGGTCAGGGGTTACTAGAAAACTTTGCTTTTCATCTGAAACACTGCATAGATACCTGGCCAAATGAGTGCCCAGATATTCTTCACAGAAGACACTGAAGGCCTCTTTACCTGTTGGTATGCTTTTGCCCTCTCTAAGTCATTATGGTTCCCTGAAGGCAGGAACTGTGTCTTTCCTTTCTTCTGTCCTCAGCATTTAAGATGCTGTCTTGTGGTGAGCATAGAACAGTCCTGCAAAATAACCAACTAAGTTCTCAGTGGTGGGTGAAAAGAAACAGTTAGTCTAAGTGTCTTTGAGCTTTTGGGTAATATGTGTTTTATTTGCTGTGTGAGCATCTGTGGTGAGCTTCAAACCTTCTAGGCAGCTTTGCCAAACTTCCTGGATTTTGTTTATATATCAGGGTCTTGGCTGGGTGCTGACTGATCTTGGATAGTCTTGGTTGAGATGTTATGACTATTTGGCCCTGTGCCATGAATCTCATCCTCCATCAGACTTGCTTGGCACAGTCTACTAGCCTCCCATTGGCCAAAGCAAGTTATGGGAAGAAGGCCAGGGTCAGCAAGAGAGATGCCTGTCAAATTACTTGGCAAAGAGTATGAACACAGAGAGGACTGAAGAACTGGGGCCATTAAGGCAACCAGCTTTATACGTGGCTGGAATATGGTAAAGGCTCAGAGTATGTTGCAAAATAAGAGTTGAATGCTCTCTGAATGTTTTCAGGTTAAGTGGTGAGCTCATGTAAAAATGGTTTCATTAATCATTAGATAAATTCAATTTAAACTATGGTGAAATAGCTACTGGGATGGTTACCATGGAAAAGTCAGATAATCTCAAGTGTTGATGAGGAGGTAGGGAAATGGGAAACTTTACATATTTCTATGACAGTTCAGTAAACCTTCTACAAAAAATAAACAAAGAATGAAAAAAGAAACCTTGAAGATAATTTCTAGGGAGCTATCCAGCACAGTAGTTGGCCATGTCAATTATATTTTATAAGGTATAAGAGGCAATAGATTACAAGAACTATTATTTAATATGTCAACTAGAAATAATTCATTACCAACACAGCCATGACAGGTTATTAATTGTAAAATGCATCTTAATTTCAGAGATGTTAAATATGGAAAAATCTGTCTTAGAATCAATTAAATAAGGTGCATGTTGAAGAAACTCATGGCACCTGCAGTTAAGTCCACACAATCAAGAAGATTCTCTTGTCTTCAGATTCAATTTTAGGTTCTCACACTTTTGCTAAATTTATGATTTTTGTTTGTTTTGTTTTAAAAATCCATTGTCGACTCATTGATTCCATCACTTGTGCTCAGTTCAGGTGTCTAGTTTCTCTGGCCTGCATTGTCCCACTGTCCCCCTATACGTTTCATCAAAGGGACCCTGCTCAATCCAAGTACTATTTCTGTAGGAACAGAAAGCTGAACTTGTCTTGTCTCCACCTTCCTTGGGAACAGGAGGACATTTTTGCCTCCAGAGCCCTTCAGGCATCTCTTTCCTTTCCTGTGATGGGATGTGACTGGGAGAAGTAAGCAGATCACTTGTTGTGGCCTTGGGTGGTTTGCACTGAAGAGGGGATGAAAAACCACATATGTGTTCACTTTTGTTTGGGTGACAAGTGGTCACAGTTGTTGACTGACAGATAATAGAAAGAATAAAAAACAAGCCCATCCATCTTTCATTTGTCAGTAAAATCTGCAGTGTTCTCTGTGGACTGGGGTGAGTTCTTTTCTCCTTCTTGCAATTTATGTCTCATCTAGGAAAGATAGAAGAATAGCTTCATTGTCGGTGGGCTTTCTGTGGTTTCTGAACAGCATGGATGCGCTTTCTAATTTTCACACCAGAGGAAAACCAACAAAAACAGGCTATTCAGCTCTATCTTTCATGTATGTGAATTTTACATGAGCAGTAGATTTATCTTGTAGGGAAAGGCAGGCAATTAGGTAGAAAGAGTGACCAGAAACAGTCCTCAGAAACAGTGGACACTGGACAGAGAAGTGGAATTGTGGATACATTGCCTGCATCATTGAGTTCTCCTGGGGTCTGTATTCTATTTTGGGTGATTCCTCTGTTAATATATATATATATATATATATATACATACATATATACATATATACATATATATGTTACACACAGACATATGTATATATATACACACATATCTATCTATACACACATACATACATATACACACACATATATATATACATATATATATATATATACATACAGAGAGTATAAAGTGGCAAAAAGCATAGAGAATTAAGAGGCACTGTAGTGTAAAACAGCTCTTACTGTATGAAAACATTCTGGTACAGAGATGCCAGCGTGCACAGCCATGCTACATTGGGTGGGTTGTTCCAGGACAATGCTTGTGTCTGAAACATAGCATTTTCTGGTCTCAGTTTCAGTTCTATTGAAGATATTATTCAGGAAACAGTGGTGAAACATCATGAGCAACAAGATTGCAAGGTATGGTCCATAGGGTCTGGATGCTTAGGCACTGAGTGTATGGACTCATAGATGGTAAAACAGCTTCATTTTTCATCCACAATGGACGGGGAGTGAGTGCTAGGCACACCACATGGGAAGGATCCTGGGGCTGTGTTCCAGTTAGAAGCACACTCTTATAACATGGGCTTTAACTTGGGCAGGGACTAAGCTAAGTTCAGACTCTTATCATTCTCATCTCATTACACCTGTTTTAAGGAGACAGCATACTAAAAGGGAAAGATAAGGAATGGGTTAGGCCTGATTTCAATCCTGGGTCTGTTCCTCCTCAGCGGATAGTAGGCCATTTACTGAACCTTATGAGTCTCATTTTCTTATGTGCAAAACGGGAATGATAACATCAAATGGTATCTTGCCTATAGTTCACTTTATGCTTTGTGTGGCTCAAAGAGGCTTTGCATATTTTAACCGAGGTGATCATCCCTAAAGCCTGGAAGAGTCAATCTCTCTGGCTTGTAGATGTAAGACACTTCCCATGTGAGAAAAAAATTTCTTCCCAGGCTATTGCCTTTATACTGGGTATAATGTACTTTGCAGGCTCTGCTTGGAGGATTTGTGCCTTAAATTAAAAAAAAAAAAGAACGCTTCCCATATTTGAGCCACAGAGCATCTGGGGATTAAGGCTAAAGTGAGAGTGGATTGCTGAGCCTGGATTCAGTTTGAGAGGCAGATGGTGAAGGGCATTCACAGAGCACCCCCACCTCCAGCGCATGTACAGATGACACTGACAGCTGTAGGCAGGAAGGACCTAGCTTTGCCTGTGCCATGCCCAATAGGACATGGTATCTGTCAATATTCAACTCTGTAACCTGTGCCTGTTTCCATGAAACAAGCCAGCACTGCTTCCTGGACTCTGCTAAGGCAGCCTGTGTCCAAGTGTCCCATTCTCCACCAAGAGCAATAAAACAGTGATCTTGTTGATATTCTGTGCAGAGTAACAGGCAGTAGGAGCATCAACATATTGCCAGCCCTCCCCTGACATCCTTCTGGCTGCAGGATTCACAGGTTATTTTTGTTTTCCATGGGGGAATTAGCTTAACTCACAACAAGCTGGTTTTCACCTTCTCTTTCCTGACATCATATAGAAGGAAGCTTCCCAGGAACTGGACCCTATTTACTCCTCTGATCTGTAAGCAACCGGAGAAGTCTGGCTGGGAACTATTTAGGAAAATAACTCTAGAATTGCTGAGATGCTGTATCCAACAGGTCCTGCAGCGAAGCATCTTTCTCCACCCTCTTGCAAGAAAGTCTCTCCCACCAACAGCCCTGTTCCAGAATGGCAGGTACACTGGTCCCTCCTGTCTCTGCCTGTGCATCTGTGTTGTATGTAGAGACTGGATGCACCCTTCGTCACCTCCAGTCACACTGCCTCTTCTCTCCAAAGACTGACATCCCTGTCTCCATCCCCAGCTTTATAGGCTAATTCAGCAGTGAAGAATTTCTGCAGATTTGGAAATCACAGGGAAATCTTAGGCTTATTTCTGCTTTTAGTTTGGTGGTGGTATGGGGGTGGGCAGGCACTGGAGGGAACAAGCTAAGAAACACTTTATTTTTAAGAAAAGTGGAATTTATGTGATGCTTACTGGCCGGTTTTTATTAGCTGAGGAGCATAAGGCTATCCTCCGCGACTCACTTTGCTAATTAAGTGGTGATTGGTATATTAAATTTTAAAGTATAATTTAGTCAGACAATAATTACCACGGAACTAATTAAATTTACTTTCCTCATGTTTTTAACTTTCTCCACAGAGGGAGCTGTAAGTAACTGGACTGTACAGGATCAACTATTTCCCCCTTTTGTCAGAGGATAAAAAGGCAAAACAACAATAAGAGTGTTTCTTCCCATTGTTTTTGGTATATTAATTGTACTGGGCAAGTCTACTAGCAAGTGTCCTGAATGAAATGCTCTGTTCAACTCCTAGTGACTTTACTGGCAGTGTGATCTTAGAGAGCAGCTGTAAGGAATATATGAGTATGTTCTCATAGCATCAGAATGATGCTAACTGCTAAATTAGTCTTTGCTGTTTAAAAGTTTTTATGCTTTCTAGGTAGGTGCTCCCTACCACTGAGCTGCAGGCTCATCCCTCAGACTTTTGCTTCCACAATGCACCTCGGATGTTAATCATATTCAAAACCACCAAGTTCTAGAAATGGATCTGGAGGGGAAAAGCAAAAATGCCAACTCCTTGATGCCAGCATCTGCCACCTGGGATCAGTCAGCCATTCTTCTGGCAACTATTTGGAGCATCTGGCTCATGTCTTGAGTCAGGCCAGGGTATTTTTGGAAGTACTTACAGAAGCCATGACAGGCATAAGAATTGCAATCCAGCCTCCCATAAATAGGTTTCACAATGAACATAGTTCTTTCACAGGCTTCATATACATATAGAAGTTCTGGCATTGGCCAGAGAAAATAGTTTTCTTCAGAGCTGTGGCCTCTTTTCCTGTGGAGGAAGAGCCAGGCAGTTATGGAGAAGCCCAGGCTACATTCTCTGGTCCTGGGAATGACACAAGTCCTCCCTGCAACAGATGTCAGTATGCAGTCTAGTAATTACAACCCAGTTAATAAAATCTCCTGGGCTCCCGGAAGAGCACAAGTCCTTTCTGACATGAAGGTGTCCTTTGCCAAACTATTCATCCTCACCATCATACTTGGACAGATGCCATGTACAATTTGCTCATCTTCAAAGAGAATATGGGGCTTACTTCCTAAATAGCACATTGGATAGTCATAGTAAATGTTCATTAAACTCAGCTGTAAATGCAAAAAATGTGATTTGTTACGAAGCTATAACTCAGAGCTTCTCATAATATCTTTTGTAAGGAGCAAGTGGGCTTTGCACAATGGTGGGCTACTCCACTGCTGGCAGCTGTTACAACTGCTACACTAAGCAAGAAAACGTTACAGAAACACAAAGTCACTGCAGCTTTCACTAACATTTCCTTGACATGGTTCAGGTTTAAGTCATAGATTATTAGTTTATGAATACTTAAAATACATGGTGTAGTAGTCAAACTGACCCATGACTCAGGTATTCACTAACAGCCACACTGAAAGTTACAGCCTCTATCTGTTGCAGATGCCCTGCAAAACACAACACACTGGATTGAATTCCTTAACTTTGTAGAGGAGACCAGTGTGTTGGTGGCAGCCTTTGCGTTCCTGCTCAGAAGTTCCAGACTGAGTACTCCAGTAGAATGAAAGGGCACAGCCAGGCGGGGATCTGGAGTGAGGCATGTACTATGGGAATCACACATTTGGAAAAGAAAGGTGGCCCTCCCTTGTTGAGTTCTAGGTACATCTCACTCCATCTTGCTTCTCTTGAGCTTTTCTCCTGTGATATTCCCAACCCTGGACTCTGTTCTTGCCCACTGGGCCATCTGTGTGTCCCCCATCCCCACTGCGCTGGGAGATGGCTCCACACCAGGCATCTATGGGCAGCATTAATTGGATTCAGTGGGTTATTAGAAACAAAATGATGACATGAAATTGAGAGGGAATAGGGTATGAAGTAGATCTTGAAAGAGAGAGAGGAGGGAGGTGAATATGACCAAAATATATTGATGCATGAATGCATGAAATTTTCAAAGAATTAATAAAACAAATTTAAAGCCAAAGCATTGAGAAAATGCTTTTCGTTAGCATATATCAATTATGCATAATCATTTGTATATGTGACATTTTTGTACTGTGCTTTGCTCATCTTTATCTCCCATTACTGGCTCTTGACCATTTCTGTCCTTGTTGATTGTCCCCTTACCAATTAGTCCAGTGACTACACCACTGAGGGAAATGGCCCTACTTCTTCCAGCTACCATTAGTTGCCAATAAATCCTCAGGGAAGGACAGGAAAGTCTCATGATTTCTCTCTACTCCAATTCATGGGCACTTTTGACCTGAAGTTAGACATTCCATTAACTTGATTCTATTTCTCTCTGCACTCTCAGTCTTCAGAGACTTGGCCTTGGTTCTTAGCTTCACTCTTTCAAGTTAGATGGGACACCAGAGAGAAAAAGAAATAGTTTGTTTTCCTGGGAGAAATGATGTTAACATACCCTGCCGAGAACGGGGGAAGGAAAGCCTGAGTACTCCCAGCCAACATTTACTAACTCAATATGTGTATTTACTAACTCTACATGCACATATGATACTATTTATATCATACAGTAACATACATTTAAAATTAACCCACATTTGTTGCTGTATTTTTAGTATATTCAAAAACATCCATATGGGCTTGCATAGGTTTATAGCACTTTCTTTAACCCTCTGAGTTGTTGCCATACATGGTCCTAAATTCTTCCACTGCAAACTTTCCTGCCTGCCACAAGAATGGAGGATGGGTAGGACAGGGAAAGCCAGGACTTTCTCTGAAATCTCCATTATTGTGGCTGAACCCTCCAACTGAACATTTGTATTTCGGTACCTGAGATCTTTTTAGAATGGTGAATCTATTTTCCTGAACTCATTAGTAGTCCTTTCACAACTACCAAATGATTTTTGCAGAAATATTTTATTTGTATCTATGTTTGTTGCTTTGGCTGCTATTTCATTTATTTTAAAACACACAATAAGCAAAGGGTTTGATACTGGAGATTCAGGGGTGATCCTACACAAGTGTTTGCTTTTAGAGTTTTTATTAGTATGCACAAGAGGGACAATAGCAGAACACAATCAGTAAGGAAATAACGAGACAAGTACAGTGCTAGGAAGGCAAGGAAGACAGTGGTTCAGAACTGGTGAAGGGTTTCAAACACATGAGCCCATAGACCCCATTCTCAGATTAATTAGAGTGCAACAAACCCTTATCCTCAATTAAAGGTGATTTCTAATAATTTTATGGAGACGAGGTTGGAGGGGCCATGGAGAGAAGAAGAATGCAGCTTCTCTCTCAGAGTGCTTAATCTTTAATCTCTCTCTCTCTCTCTCTGTTTCTCTGTCTCTGTCTCTCTCCCTATCTATCTATCTATCTATCTATCTATCTATCTATCTATCTATCTATGGAATTTGTTAGGATGACTTACAGGCTGCAGTCCATGTAACCTAACAATGGCTATCTGTGAATAGAACGCCCAAGAACCCAGTAGCTGCTCAGTCCCACAAGGCTGGATGTCCCAGCTGGTCTTCTGTATCAGTTGGAATCCAGAAGTAGACTCTAAGAGAAGTGGAATAATGGATGTGCTAGCAAGGTGAGGGCAAGCAGGCAAAGAGCAAGAACTTCCTTCCTCCATGATCTTATAGGCTGCCAGCAGACGTGGTCCACAATAAAGGTGTGTCCTCCCACCTCAAGATGTGGACCAGAGGTGTGTCTTCCTACTTTGAAGGTCTGGACTAGAGGTATATTCACTCACTTCAAACTAAGCAGAAAATCTCTCACAGGTGTGGCCTCCATTTCTGGACTGCAGTGCATTCCAGATATAGTCAAGTTGACGACCAAGAATAGCCATGTCAGTGCCCCTGCTTCTGCTTCCTGGGCTTTATTCACACTTTCATCGAACAACTAGTTACAGGACTGTTACCAATCTAATTGTTCTTCTGTAGGCTCTCAACTGCTTTGGTGGATCTTATTGGGAGAGGGAGACCCTCAGCAAATAAGAAAATTAATGGAAAACAAACAAACAAAAATGAGAAAGGCAAAAAGAATTATGTGCTACTTATTTTTCTGTTCCTAGCACCTGGCACATTGCCTGGTGCAATAACAGGTGTTCAGGAAATAAATGTTTGTTGAGTTGAGCGATGCATCTCTTCAAGGGCTCAGACCATGCTGTGTATTTGAGTCTCCTGGGCAAGTAGCATGACTGAGTACACAAAGGCAGTGTGTAACTTCATGTTACATAAATGGACCCACCTGTGGATTGATTCTATCAGTCTGCAGGACACAGCATGTGATTATAATGAAAATTAATAAAGAGTGACACATAGTTTCCAGGAACCAGGTGCAGATCCTTTCTCACATACTAGTCACGGTGTTGATGTGTGTGCGTGGCACCAGGTTCAGTGTGATTGTATGAGTCTCCTGAGTAGTCTGTGGTCTTGTCTGAGAAAGCTAAAGAGTAGAGCTTGTGTAACTGGCTGGATGGGGAGACGCAATTCAAATCTCATTGCTCCTTAGATATCTGAGGAATCTGCTGAGATTTGAGTCAGCCTCTTCTGCCTCTAAGTACCTTTTATGGCTCATGGACCTTGGGAAGAACAGCTACATCCAGGATACTAGGATTTTTCCTTGTGGAAAATGACAACTGACTTTTAGCATGTGCATGACATCCAAGACTTCTGAGCCATGGAATCTGTAACTGCAAGAAACCTTGGTCACTATTATATTCAAATACTTTGTTTTAGTTTTACAGGAAAGAAAACTGAACTAGTCCAAAAGCTAAGTCCCCCTTCATTTTAGTGTTGAGGGAATGAGGAACCAGAAACATGAAATGATTTGCATAAAGGTAACACAGATCAGGTTCTCACAAGTGCTCTTGTCAAAAACTTAACAACTTACGTTTGTTGTTTACCAAAAGATACAACATCTGTACCTACTTTATTCATAATAGCCACAAAGTAGCAGTGATGTCCAAGTCCATCAGTGGTAGAATGGGTAAGTGCATTGTGGTATAGCTACTGACATGAGCCATTATACAGGAATGAAAAAGAACATGCATGAATTGCTTCTTCATAAATCCTAACGTAAGCAATGATGAAGAAAGTCAGATAATAAAAAGAAAGAAAGAAAAGGAGTCAGCACAGTGATTTGGCTTACATGAAGTTCAAGACTGGTCAACAAAGGATGGCTCTCTGAAGAGTGACTGCATGAGGCAGCCTCCCTCAGGTGCTGGAAATGTTGAATGTCTTCATATGGAGAGAGGTAACATGGTGCCACAAGCATGTGTCCCAAGCTACCATCTCATGATACTGAATGTTTCTGAATGTAAGCTGTATCTCAATACTTTTAGTGGATGGAAGAATATTTCCATGTGTTCTCACCTGCTTCTCTTGCCAGGGATAGGAAAGGCCAGATCAAGTTGAGGAGTAGGAAGCCCAGGCGATATGCTGACAAACCCCACAGCCCAGGGAACATGTCAGCTTGGCCGTAAGCTCCGCTTGAAAAAGCTGCTGGTTTTCAGTCAATAAAAGGGAAGCTTTAAGTTTCTTAGAGAGTTTATAAATGTGTTAATTACAGTCATCAAGATTTTGCGTCGCAATGAGCGCTTATCTAATGGGTTTAGATTAGACCGTTTACTTAGCTTTCTTGTTATTCCCCAATTAACTTCTGAAGTCTCCCTCCAATGTTCCAACCCGCACCAAGAGAGCCCGGATATGGGATTTGAAAAAAAAAAAACAAAAGAAAACAAAAACTGGTGCAATGTTGAGCTTTATTATTACTTTTTTATTATCCAAAAGTTCCAGAGGCAATTTCAGACGTGTTTCTGTACCGCTGTTTCCTGAACTGTTAGAATTTGTTTTGTTTAGGGGAGGAATCTTTATCCATACTAATGCTTATGGAAGTGTTATTTACAAAACAAACTAATAGAAGCTAATGAGTCTAATGATAGCAAGTGCTGAGGTCAAGGATGGCGCTTCTGCTAGGTGAAATATAATGCAACCATTAAAGCCAGACAGTAGCTTGAAAGGGCTTATGTCATGGTAATTGGGAAAAACGAACACAATTGTCCATGTCGTGTGTTTTAACTAAGCAAAATTATAAAATGAAATCTACTCAATCATCAACAGTGTTGTGTTTAGGTAGAACTAGGGTATGCTGTTCTTCTTCCTTTTCTATATTTTCCAAAATTTCTTTAATGAGTATGCATTGTATTGGTAACTTTAAAAAATGACATCATTAGAGACATAACGAAGGTATTTCCAATGTCTTCAAGGCATCTTTTGTAAGTTCTCTTTCATTCTTCAAAGCTCCCGAGTTTCCCATTGTTGTGGTTTCAATGAGAATCCTTGGTCCCTAGTAGGTAGAACTGTTTGGGAAAGATTGGGAGGTGTGGCCTTATTGGAGGAGACATTTCACTGGTTGCAGGCTTTGAATGTTCAAAAGACTCATACCATTCCCGGTGTGCTTTCTGTCCCCTGCTTGCTGTTGCAAATATGAATTCACGGCTGTTCTTACAGCCATGCCTTTGTTGTGCCATCATACACTCTAACCCTCTGGAACTATAATCCTGATTAATTGCTTTCTTTTTTTTAATTTTTATTTTTAAATTTAAATTTAAATTAGAAACAAGGTTGCTTCACATATCAATCCCAGGCCCCTCTCTCTTTCCCTCCCCTCCTTCCACGCCCTTTTTCATGGTGTTTCTTCACAGCAATAGGAAAGTGGTTGCTTTAAAAGAAGTTACTAATATTGAAAATACTGTATCATTAAACCAGTTAACTGAGGTTATCAGCTCTAACATGATAGTCAAGACTTGCCACAACATTCTATGTAGAAAAAAAATAAAAAATGTTAACAGGGACAAGCTGGCACATGGGAGCTTTAACCCCAGCACATGGGAGGTAAAGGTGGGTAGACTGGTATGAGTTCGAAGCC